GCATTGCGTCGGCGTTGCGGGACGTTACCAACAACTATACCTACACCGGGGCGGTGCGCCGTAGGCAACCGAACCACACCGGGGATTTGACCCGGCTGCGCCAGGTGTCCAACGGCTACGTGCTCCCGAATCCGGGGCTTGGCGCGTCGGTGAACTGGAACGTAATGGTGGATTTTCTGGAAGCTCCGGCCCTGGACGACCCCAGGTTTGATAACGCATCCGTCCGGCTGGAGAATGCTGAAGCCCTGGGCGAGATACTGGACCAGATTTTTGCCACCAAGGATAAGCAACAGATTTTTTATTCGGCTCACGAGCAGCGATTCATCTACGGCGTGATCGATTCCCCTGCGGAAACGCTGGATAACCCCCAGATTCAGGCTCGCGGTTATTATGTGCCTTTGCAGCACCCCGAATTGGGTGAGATTACTTTCCCCGGCGCACCGTTCCTGTTGAGCGATTCCCCGTGGCAGGTTACCGCGCCGGCGCCGGCTCTGGGCGAGCACAACAGCGAGGTATTGGGAGGATTGGGTCACGATGCCCAAAGTCTGGCCTACCTGCGCGCCTCGGAGGTGATCTGAATGGCTGCACCGCTGAAGGGAGTCCGCATCATCGAGATGGGACAGCTGATCGCCATCCCGTCGGCGATGAAATGGCTGGGAGATATGGGGGCGGAGGTGATTCGACTGGAATCGGTGCAGCGGCTGGAGAGTTATCGCACCGATTCGCTGTATCACAATGACGTGGACGGCGAGTTTTGGAATCGCGGCGCCAACTTTTACGAACAGAACCGTAACAAGCTGGGCCTCACACTGGACCTGAGTCGGGATGAGGGCCGGTCGGTGCTGCGCGATCTGGTTGCGGTTTCGGACGTGTTCGCGGAGAATTTTACTCCCCGGGTGATCCGGAACTTTGGGCTGGAATACGATGACCTGCGGAGGATACGCCCGGACATCATAATGGTGTCGTCCACGGGATACGGGTTTGATGGACCGTGGTCGAATTTCGGCGCCACCGGTCCGGCAACCGAGGGGGCGGCGGGACTTGCCTACCTGACGGGATATCGGGATGGCGGTCCCGTGATGTCGGAAATACCCTACACGGATTACACTGCAGGTGAGCACACCGTGGCCGCCGTGATGCTGGCGCTGATGCACAGGTTATACACCGGCAGGGGTCAGTTCATAGACATATCGCAGACACAAACCTGCAGCGCCACCATCCCGGAGGCGTTGCTGGACTGGACTGTGAATGGCCGCGTTCAACCGCGCCTTGGGAACGAAGACCCGGCGATGTCGCCGCACGGCTGCTACCCCTGCGCCGGTGATGACCGGTGGATCGCAATTGCCATCGACAGCGATGAAGCATGGCAAGCGTTATGCGATGTAATGAACCGGCCGGACTGGTCAGCGGACGCCCGCTATCGCGATGTGCTGAGCCGCATCGCGAATCGCAAAGAACTTGATACCATGCTGGCCTTTGAGACGCGGCGCCACGACAACCACGAGTTAATGGGACGCCTGCAGGCGCAAGGTGTCGCGGCCGGGGCCGTATTGGACAGCAAAGACCTGCTGTTTAATGAACACCTGAATTCGCGCCAGTTTTACGAAATCGTGAAGCATCACCCTGACACCGGGATGCCCCCGCTGCCGTACGCAAGCCGTCCCTGGAAACTATCTGAAACACCGGCCCGCGCTCCCGAAGCAGCGCCGATCATTGGGCAACACAACCGGCAGATTCTGGGCGCGCTGATCGGGAAAACCGAAAACGAGATTGCGATTCTGGAGGAACTGGACGTTATCGGCTACTCGCCGTTGGCGCCGCGGGGCGTTAGACGTCCATCTCCGGAGGAGCAGGTTCGCCAGGGCAGGATGCAACGGTACGAAACCGACTACGCCGAGCAGATCCGTCGACAGTACGACATCGATTCGGCGTGAGCCCCGAGGGCGATCCAGCCGTAAACGCAACATCATCGCCGCCGCATGTCAACGGCGACGACTATGGAACGCGGCATCGGCGACTGACGTTAACCCTGACGAGCCTCAAATGTGGAGATAGCGTCTTCGTGCTGGAGAGTCAGGCCAATATCGTCGAGGCCGTTGAGCAGGCAATAGCGGCGGAACTCGTCCACCTGAAAGTCCACCACGATTTCTTCGTCGCTGTCGCGGACCTGTTGCGCTTCGAGATCGACCGTCAGTTCCAGGCCGGGGTTGTTTTTGGACTTGTCGATAATCTGCCGCACCGCCGGTTCAGGCAGGATCAGCGGCAAGACGCCGTTTTTGAAGCAGTTGTTATAGAAGATGTCGGCAAAGCTGGGTGCGATGACGCACCGGACGCCGAAATCCTCCAGAGCCCAGGGAGCGTGCTCACGCGATGAGCCACAACCGAAGTTGGGGCCGGAAACCAGGATTTTCGAATTGCGGTAAGGACCCTGATTCAGGATGAAATCCGGGTTTTCTGAACCGTCTTCCCGGTAGCGATACCGGTCGAACAGATGTGGGCCGAAGCCGGTGCGCTCGATGCTTTTGAGATAGACGGCGGGGATAATCATATCGGTGTCTACGTTGACCTGGTCGAGGTGGGCAACGACGCCGCTCAGGCTGACAAATGGTTCCATCGTGAAATACCTCTTGAGGGGAATGCTGGCGAGAATTGGTGGAGGGTCAGAAATCCCTGACGTCGACGAAGTGTCCGGCGATGGCGGCAGCAGCGGCCATCTCGGGGCTGACCAGGTGGGTGCGGCCACCGTTACCCTGGCGTCCTTCGAAGTTGCGGTTGGAGGTGGAAGCGCAACGCTGGCCCGGTTCCAGGATGTCGGGATTCATGCCCAGGCACATCGAGCAGCCGGCTACGCGCCAGTCAAACCCGGCTTCCTTGAACACCTGATCCAGCCCCTCGGCCTCGGCTTCCATTTTCACGCGCGCTGACCCGGGGACGACCATGGCGTAAACGTCGGAATTAACCTGGCGGCCCTTGATTACGTTGGCGGCGGCGCGAAGATCGTCGATGCGGGCATTGGTGCAGGCGCCAAGGAACACACGGTCAATTTTGATGTCCTGGATCGCCTGGTTGGCCTCCAGTCCCATGTATTCGAGAGCGCGTTCGGCAGCCTCGCGTTCCCCGGCGGTGGCGAAGGAGGCGGGGTCTGGGATGCGGTCGGTCACGGAGGCCACCATGTCTGGTTTGGTGCCCCAGGTAACGAAGGGTGTCAGTTCGCTGGCGGGGATCACGACGGTCTTATCGTATGTTGCGCCGGCATCGGTAACGAGGCCACGCCATTCTTCTATTTTTGCTTCCAGCTCGGCTCCCTTGGGCGCATAAGGACGGGTCCGAACATAGTCGAACGTGGTGTCGTCGGGGGCGATCATGCCGGCGCGGGCGCCGGCCTCGATGCTCATGTTGCAGACGGTCATGCGTCCGTCCATCGACAGGGCGCGAATGGCTTCTCCGGTGTACTCGATCACGTGGCCGGTACCGCCATTGACACCGATCTTGCCGATGATGCCGAAGATGACGTCCTTGGCCGAAACACCGTTTGGCAGCGGGCCGTCGACGCGGATTCCATGGTCTGGGGTTTGAACTGGCGGAGCGTTTGCGTCGCGAGTACGTGCTCGACTTCGGAGGTTCCGATACCGACGGCGAAGCAGCCGAGGGCGCCGTGGGTGGAAGTATGGCTATCCCCGCAGACCACGGTTTTGCCTGGCAACGTGTATCCCAGATCGGGACCGATGACGTGAACGATGCCCTGATTTTCACTGAAGCGGTCGTAATAATTAGGCAAGCCGAACTCGGCGGCGTTGCGATCCAGGGCATCCAGCTGCGCCTTGGAAATCTGGTCTTCAATGGGGCGGGTCAGCTCCCAGGTCGGGGTGTTGTGGTCGGCGGTGGCGACGGTTAGGTCGGGACGGCGAACCTTGCGACCGGCGAGGCGCAACCCGTCGAACGCCTGGGGTGAGGTGACTTCGTGCACCAGGTGCAGGTCAACATAGATGAGGGAGGGCTGCCCGGGTTCCTCGTGAACAATGTGGGCGTTCCATATTTTCTCGAACATCGTCCTAGCGGCCATTGATTTCCTCCAATCAAAACAACGTTCAGTCAAAGCAACGTTGAAAGCGGCCATATTATAGCATTGGAGGCCAACTTCACGGGGTTTCCGACGCAGGCGGACAAGGAATTGCAACGGCGCCCTTCCAGTGGGAACATGGGTTCCGCCGTCAGCCTTCCCCTGCCGGCGTCAGGGGCGATCGGAGCCTCACATGAATGAACAGGAAGGACAGGATTCCGGGCCGGGACGGGCAACGGGATCGCCACGTCGTTCCGGTTGTTCTTATTCCGGTTGCTTCCTGTTGCGGTTGGTTCAATGACAGTGAGTGTGGTTTCCGGCAATCGCCTGGAATCGCGTTTCTCGGGATGATGGGGTCGGGCCAGGATTGTGCCTATGATAAACTTGCGCCATCCCGAACTATTACAGTCCCGGAGGTAGCCAAATGCCATCCACCGATCCGTTTACCCTGCCATTGAATGTACGTCCGCTGCACTACGATCTGGAATTGACGCCGAACTTTGACGATTTCTCGTTCGCTGGTGAAGTCGATATCACCCTGCAAATGGACTCCGGCACTTCGGAGATCGTTCTGAACTCGGACGAGATCGACATTCGCGCTGCAACGCTGACCTGGACCGACGCAGCCGGCGAGCACGAGCGATCATCGACCGACATTTCCTACGAAACCGAAGCGGAACGCGCCACGATCAGTTTCGAAGGTGGGCCGGGTGATGGACTCACCGGCAACCAGCACCTGAAGCTGACCTACATCGGTGAGCTGAACGACAAGCTGCGGGGGTTTTACCGCAGCCAGTATACAAACCCGGAGGGCGAGACGGCCTATCTGGCGACGACGCAATTTGAGGCGACGGACGCCAGGCGAGCGCTGCCGTGCTGGGACGAACCCGCGGTGAAATCCACGTTCAGGGTGACTCTGAATATTCCGGATGAAATGCAGGCGGTGTCCAACACGCCGATAGTGCAGGAAAAGGCAGGAAGCGCGGCGGGCACCAAGACGCTGGTTTTTGACGAGACACCGGTAATGTCGACCTACCTGCTGGCGTTTGTAATCGGAGACCTGGCACATATTGAGAAGGAAGCCGCCGATGGCACGGTGGTGGGTGTCTGGACGACGCGAGGCAAAGAAACGCAGGGAGAGTTTGCGCTGGACACGTCGGTGAAACTGCTTTCCTTTTTCAACGACTATTTCGGCATCCGCTATCCACTGCCCAAGCTGGATCACCTGGCGATACCGGACTTCGCCGCCGGCGCGATGGAAAACTGGGGATGCGTTACGTACCGGGAAACGGCGCTGCTGGTGGACGCGCAAAATTCGTCCGCCGGAACACGGCAGCGGGTCGCCGAGGTGGTGGCGCACGAGATGGCGCACATGTGGTTTGGTGACCTGGTTACTATGCAGTGGTGGGACGACCTTTGGCTAAACGAGAGTTTCGCGACCTGGGTCGGAACGAAAGCGGTAGACTGGTTGTTCCCGGAATGGTCGATGTGGACGCAATTCGTCAACATGGATACCAACCGGGCATTCAGCCTGGACGGGCTGAAGAACTCACACCCCATTGAGCAAGAAGTAGCGAATCCGGCTGAAGTCAGCCAACTGTTTGACGCGATCAGTTACAGCAAGGGCGGCTCGGTGCTGCGGATGCTGGAGCACTTCTTGTCGGCAACCACTTTCCGGGTGGGGCTGAACATCTACCTGAACCGCCACTCGTATCAGAATGCCCGCACCGTGGACCTGTGGACGGCATTGGAAGAGGCATCGGGTCAGCCGGTTACATCGATGATGGGCAGCTGGACGGGACAGATGGGATATCCGGTTCTGGACGTGGCGGCAACTCCGGCAGAAGGAGGGCTCACGCTCGCGATCAAGCAGGAACGGTTTGTGTTTGATTCGGTGCTCGGCGACGATGCAACGGACGATGAGGAACAGGTGTGGCCGATACCGTTAACGGTTATCGCCGCCGGAGCGAATGTAACGGCGACACTGGTCAGTGCGGCCACCGATACCGTCCACATCGCCACACCGCCGCAACCCGACTGGTTCAAGGTAAACCCGGACCAAACCGGATTTTATCGGGTGAACTACACTGACGCCGACTGGGACCGGTTGCCGCCGGCGATATCGAGCGGCGCCCTGCCAGCAACAGACCGCCTGGGAATCCAGAATGATGCATTCGCTCTGTCGAAAGCCGGTTTGCTGCCCATCACCCGATTTTTGTCCCTGGCAGAGGCTTATCAGAACGAAACGGACGCATCGGTTTGGAGCGACCTGGCGACCAACCTGCGGGATATAGAAGGTTTGATTGGCGAAGAACCCTGCCTGGAAGCGTACCGGGCGTTCGGACGACGGCTATTCGGTCCCGCCGCCCAGCGGTCGGGTTGGGAACCCAAGCTTGGGGAAGGCCATCTGGACTCGCTGCTGCGCTCCACGGTTTTGAGTCAGGCGGGAGTGTATGGAGACGCCGACGTGATCGCCCGAGCGCATGAACAATTTGCGGCGTATCAGGCGGATCCTGGCAACGTGCGTCCCGACCTGCGCGGCGTGGTATTCAGCCTGGTGGCACAGGAAGGAGACCGGGCGGTTTACGACCGGATTTGGGACCTGGAGCGCGGCGCGGAACTGCACGAAGAAAAAATCCGGTTACTGATGTCGCTGGCGAGGTTCCAGCAGGAAGACCTGCTGCGGGAAACCCTGGACCGTGCGCTGACTGATGACGTGCGTTTGCAAGATACGATCTTTGTAGTGTCTGCGGTGGCGGCCAACCACAAGGGCCGTAACCTGGCCTGGGAGTTCCTGAAGGAGCAGTGGGACGAATTTGACCGCCGTTACGGCGGCGGCGGGTTCGGGTTGATGCGGCTGGTGGCGATCACCAACGCATTCACCAGTGAAGAGAAGCGTCAGGACGTGACCGAGTTCTTCGAAGCGCACCCGACGCCCGCCGCGGAACGGACCATCCGTCAAGCCCTCGAACGTATCCAATTGAACACGGCCTGGCTCAACCGGAACCGCGAGGTGCTGGCAACGCACTTTTCATAAGCCGGCCAGCCGGCAAGGGCGTTGCCGCCGGAACGGATGGCATGCTCCGGTAGTTCCGCCCTGCTGGCTCTCTTTATATAGAAAGGTGGGGTAACCGGCGCGCACAGGGGTCGATTCCGGGGTTCCAGGCACCGCCCGCGCCAGGAGCCAGGTTTGACATCATTAGGTATAGCAGGTAGCCTTGCCTTGATATACGCCCACAAAAAGCACTGTGAAATATGGATTTACCCCAACGAATTAATGCACTGAAATCGTCTCTGGCGCGCCGAATTATGATAATGGATGGCGCCATGGGTACCCAGATTCAGGAACGAGATCTCGGTCCGGATGATTTCGGAGGGGATGATTACGAGGGCTGCAACGAGTACCTGAACATCACCAGGCCCGACGTGATTGCCGACATCCACCGCAGGTATCTGGAAGCCGGCGCGGACATTATCGAGACCAACACCTTCGGCGCTACAAGCGTTGTGTTGGCGGAATATGACCTGGCGGAACACGCACGCCGCATCAACCGGGAAGCCGTACAGATCGCACGTGCCGTGGTTGAAGAATTCGGGTCCGCGCAGCCGGAACAGCCGCGATTCGTGGCGGGAGCCATGGGGCCGACGACGCGTACGATTTCGGTAACCGGCGGGCTGACCTTTGATGAACTGGCTGCTGACTACCACCAACAGGCGGCGGGATTAATCGAAGGCGGCGCCGACTTTCTCCTTCTGGAAACCAGTCAGGACACCACTAACGTCAAGGCGGGACTGGAAGGCATCGACAGGGCGTTCGCGGAGTTGGGCCTGGAGTTACCTGTGGCCGTGCAAGGCACGATAGAGCCCATGGGCACATTGCTGGCGGGGCAGGACGCCGAGGCGTTTTACACGTCGTTGGCGCATCGCGATCTGCTGTGGGTGGGGTTCAACTGCGCCACCGGGCCGGAGTTTATGACCGACCACGTGCGGACGTTGTCAGGTTTGTCTCGGGGGAACGTGGCGTGCGTACCGAATGCGGGCCTGCCGGACGAAGACGGGAACTACAACGAGACTCCGGAGATGGTTGCGGCCACGCTGATGCGGTTCGCGGACAATGGCTGGCTGAACGTGGCGGGTGGGTGCTGTGGCACCGGTCCCGAACATATACGGCAAATTGCGGAAGGGATGCGCGGCAAATCACCCAGGATTGGAAACCCCGAAATCGAGACCAGGGTGTCGGGCATTGAAGCGGTAGTGGTGAACGAAGACACCCGTCCAACGATCGTTGGGGAGCGGACGAATGTGCTGGGGAGCCGTCGGTTTAAACGGCTGATCAGCGGCGAACGGTTTGAAGAGGCGGCGGAAGTCGGCCGTCGACAGATCCGCAACGGCGCTCACGTGTTGGACGTTTGCCTGCAGGATCCGGATCGGGACGAAACCGAGGACGTGATCAGGTTCCTCGACCAGCTGAATCGGCGGGTCAAGGCTCCGATCATGGTCGATTCCACTGATGCGGCGGTGATTGAAGAATCGTTGAAGAGATTGCAGGGAAAAATCGATCATCAATTCCATCAACCTGGAAGACGGGGAAGAGCGGTTTCAGACAGTGGTGCCGCTGGCCCGTCGTTACGGGGCGGCGCTGGTGGTTGGGTGCATCGACGACGACCCAAATCAGGCACAGGCCGTCACCAGGGAACGCAAACTGGAGATTGCCCAGCGTTCACATCGCTTGCTGACCGAAAAATACGGTGTGCCCGAAGAGGACATCATCTTCGATCCCCTGGTATTTCCGGCGGGAACGGGTGATGTCAACTACGTGGGTTCCGCTGCCGAAACCATCGAAGGCCTGAAACTTATCAAGGAAGCGCTGCCGGTCACCAAAACAATTCTGGGCATTTCCAACGTGTCGTTCGGGCTGCCGGCCGCCGGCCGTGAGGTGTTCAACTCGGTTTTCCTGTACCACTGCACGCAAGCCGGGCTGGACATGGCGATCGTGAACTCGGAGTTATTGCAGCGTTATACCACGATACCCGAAGAAGAGCGCCGGCTGTCTGAGGACCTGATATGGAATCGGGGCGACGATCCGGTGGCGGCGTTTGCGGCGCATTTCCGCGACCGGGCTCCGCGATCAACGGTTGAAGAGCGATCGGCGTTACCGCTGGACGAGCGTTTGTCTAAATGCATCATCGAGGGTAGCAAGGAAGGCTTGGCGAATGACCTTGACCTGGCGATGAAGGACCGTGAGCCTTTGGACATCATCAACGGGCCGTTAATGGCGGGGATGGATGAGGTTGGGAGACAGTTCAACGCCAATGAGTTGATAGTTGCAGAAGTTCTGCAAAGCGCCGAGGCGATGAAATTCGCGGTTTCGCATCTGGAACCCCACATGGAGCGCGCGGATGCCGCCTCCCGCGGGAGGGTGTTGCTGGCAACGGTGAAGGGAGATGTCCACGACATCGGGAAAAACCTGGTGGAGATTATCCTGTCCAACAACGGTTATCGCGTGGTGAACCTGGGCATCAAGGTGGCGCCGCAAGATTTGATAGCCGGATGCCGGGAGCACAATCCGGATATAGTGGGATTGTCGGGATTGCTGGTGAAGTCGGCGCAGATGATGGTTGAAACGGTGCGGGATTTTCGCGCGGCCAACATCCGGGCGCCGGTGTTGGTGGGCGGCGCCGCATTGTCAAACCGGTTCACGCGGCTGCGGATCGCGCCGGAATATGATGGACTGGTGGCCTACGCTCAGGACGCGATGACCGGGCTGGCGCTTGCAAACGTGATACAGGATGCTGATGAGCGCGAACGTCTGGCGGCCAGGCTGGCCATAGAAACGGAAGAATTGCAGGCGGCAACGGCCGCCAGGAGCTAAGGCGCTATGACTTCAACTGCCAGGCCGGCTGTGGTCCCCGTGGACAATCCGCCCAAACCGCCAGATCTGCTTATGCATGTCCTGCAGGACTACGATCTGGACGAAATATTCAGGTACATCAACCCGCAGATGTTGTATGTCCGGCACCTGGGTTATCGGGGTCGTTTCGCAGAAGCGCTGGCGCAAGAGGAACCCAAGGCTCTGGAACTTCGGCAGCAGGTGCAGCGGATAGAAGACATCGTGCTCGCCCGAAGAGATATCAGGGCCAGCGCGGTGTTCAAGTTCTTTCCCTGTTTCTCGGACGGCCAAGAGCTGGTGATCACTCAGTCCGACGGGTCAACCGAAGTGGAACGGTTCTATTTTGGGCGGCAAAGCGATCGGGAAGGTCTGTGTCTGACCGACTACGTGCGCCCTTCAGGAGACGGGCCCACTGACTACATTGCCATGTTTGCGACCACTGTGGGGCCGGGCGTTCGCGCGTTGGCGGAACGCTGGAAGGAATCGGGCAGATACCTGGATTCACACACCCTGCAGGCGCTGGCGATTGAATCGGCGGAAGGGTTCGCCGAGTTGCTGCACCAACGGATCCGCACCATGTGGGGCATTGGCGAGAGGTCGGTTGGAAAGACGGCTAGCGAGAACGAGATGCTGGATCTTTTCCGGACCCGTTATCGCGGCAAACGGTATTCCTTCGGATACCCGGCCTGTCCGCGACTGGAGGATCAGGAAAAGTTGTTCAACCTGCTTGACGTGTTCGCCAACATATCGGTGGAGCTTACCGATGGGTATATGATGGACCCGGAGGGTTCGGTATCGGCGGTGGTGTTACACCATCCGGATGCCAAGTATTTTAACTTGGATGAACGGGATATAGAACGGTTGGAAGCAGAGGTTCTGGAACTAGAGAGCGGGATCAAGTGATTGCCATTTCAATGCGAAGTAAACCAACACCCGTAGGCGCTGAGTTTGCGGGTATTTTTTGGCTCATCAAAATGCCGTCTGGTTGGGCGGCTGGATAAGCCACTCAGTCACGACGCCTTCGCCATCGCGCCGTCCGCGCCGGTTGGATACGATGCACAGAGATATGATGGGAATTGCCGGGCTAATGAATCGGACTGAACGATGGGGATAAACGACCAGATTTGGCGAATTCAAAGCCACATAGAGCAATAGAATGAACGTGTTCGACACAGCAGTTCCCGCCAATGCCAATGCCGTTTGGGATCCGTACGGCGAATTGGCCCAGCGGTTGAATGACCGGCCCGACGACGAGCGCGACTACACAGCGGTAATTGACATCGGTTCGGGTTCGGCGCGGGCAGTGGTGATGCACGTACACCCCGGCGGCGGCATTGAAGTGCTGGCTCAGCAGAGCGTGAACCTGAATTTGATGAGTCACGTAGACGCCAACGGGATGTTGGACGAGGCGGGAGTGGCCAGCACGCTGGATGCGATGGATGATTTTGTTCTGGTGGCGCGAGGTTATGGGGCGAAAGCGATCCACGCCATCGCGACCGCCGCGATTCGTGAATCCGTGAACTCCTCAACCATCACGGATACCGCGATGAAACGGTTTGGGGTGCCGTTGAGGATTATCGCCGGCGAAGAAGAGGCTGCATATTGCTTCATGGGAGCAATGCACGGCCTGCACGTATCCGACGGGTTGCTGGCGGATGTTGGCGGGGGCAGCACTGAAATCGTTGAGTTCTCGAGTCGTGCGCTGACGGCGACCGCCACGTTGCCGATGGGGAGTTTGCGCATCGCCAACATGTTCGGCTTGACCGACCGCCCGGAAGCGAACGATCTGGCGGGTGCTTTCGAATACGTGAACGGTTTGTTGGCAGAGTCACGCGTGCCGAAGCTGCCGTGTTGGGGAGCGCTGGTGGGTTCTGGGGGAACGGTGCGCCTGTTGTCCAAACTGGACCGCCGTCGTGCTCCCTACCCGATCGTCAAAATGCACGGATATGAGATCGAAATAGATGATTTGTCGGCGCTGACGGAACGCCTGGCGCAATTGACCAGGCAGGAGCGTGCGGCGATACCGGGGATGAACCGGGAACGCAGTCATTCGGTAGTGGGTGGAGCCGTCATCGCCCTGGCACTGGCAAGGCACACTGGGTCCGATCGGATATTGGTCTCAGGCCAGGGATTGAGGGAGGGATTGGCACGGAATCCTGGCATACTTGATCCGCACCGGCGAATTTGCCTTCCCAGCCTGAAATCGGTGCAGGTGGATTCTCTCACCGACCTGACTAGCCGGTTCGCACCGAAGTATTCGCAACGGGGAACGCGTCGGGCGGCGATAGCGGGAACCATAGCGAACGCGGTCTGGACGGGTCGGCACAAGCGGTTGACCGGGGCATTGCAGTGTGCGGCGCTGTTGGTGGACGTGGGCAACGCGATTGATTTTTATAATCGCATGAATCGGGCCGCGAGTATAATTGTACGTACGGATTTGCCGGGATTCACTCACCAGGAATCCGCTTACATAGCGGCGATATTGTTGGTGGCAGAAAGTGGCCGCCTGCTGTCGCGGTTCAGGAATTCGCGACTGTTGAGGGATAAGGACCGGCACCGGATTGACCAGGCGGCGGCGATCTTGAACCTGTCTGATGAACTGGAAAGTCGGTTGCCGCCAGATTGCGGCGCTCAGTCAATCGTCGCGCGAAGGAACGATGGCGGGATAATCGTGAAGACTCCGGTATGGTCTGCCAACGCGGTCCCGGCGATCCGGTCTCGTTGGGACAAGGTTTTCCGGGAGGAACTGCTGATCGTAGGGGGTGAATGATGACTCAATTCCCGAACCCAGACAGCTACAGAATGGGCGACCGCTACGGGCGGCACCCGGACGACGGAGAGTACCCAGGGCGATTGATTATCGTGGAGGGTATCGACGGATCGGGGAAGAGCACGCAGATAGATCTGTTGGGCAAATGGCTGGACAGCATGAATCTGGTGACGGTTTTTACCGAATGGAATTCGTCGCCGATTGTGCGCAACACCACCCGCCGGGGGAAGGAAGGCCGGCTGCTGACGCCGATGTCCTTCAGCCTGATTCACGCTGCCGACTTCGCGAACCGGGTTCATACGCAGATACAGCCAGCATTGAAGGCGGGAGCTATTGTTTTGGCTGACCGGTATGTATTCACCGCATTTGCCCGGGACGCGGCCCGAGGCGTTGATCGTGATTGGTTGAGGCGCGTTTATTCATTCGCCACCCGGCCGTCGCTGGCATTTTATTTCAAGGTTCCGCTGGAGGAGTCGATTCGCCGCATAACCATTGGTCGGGAAGGGATTGGTTACTATGAATCGGGGCAGGACATGGGTTGGGCGGGAAACCGGGCCGATTCATTTCGACAGTTCCAGGGTAGGCTGCTCGAGGAGTATTCAGCGCTGACCGAAGAGTACGGTTTGATTACGATAGATGCCACGCAACCGATAGTTGAACAGCAACGGGTGGTCCGGAAATATGTGGAGCCGCTGTTAAAAGGCACGATGAAGATTCACGGCCAAAGCGTGCCGGAGGCGCTGGGCAGCAGCGGGCTGACGGGCAGGTACTCCGTGTACCCGGCTCTCGTAAACAGGATGCGCGGGAGGGCGCGACCGACGCCTGAAGCGGTGTGGGTCGGGATTGCTGCCGTCGCCCCTGACCTGACGGGCACCCGGGCCGTTGCGGGACGAATGATATGAACAAAGCCAGATTTTACGGGCATACACCGCCCGGGGCCGGCGAAGAAACCACACCCGGACGACTTATTGTGGTGGAAGGCACGGACGGCGTCGGTCGTTCCACCCAGATTGCATTGTTGAAGGAATGGCTGGAAGCGGAAGGGTATGCCGTGCTGGATACCGGGTTCCGGCGGTCTGAACTGGCGGCCAACGGGATTGATCGGGCAATGCGGGGGAACACGCTGGACCTGCTGACGCTGAACCTGTTTTACGCCACGGATTTTTGGGACCGGCTGGAGAAAAGCATTATCCCTGCCTTGCGCGCTGGAATGGTGGCCTTGGTTGACCGCTACATCTTCTCCATCATCGCTCGGGCCAGGGTCCGGGGAGTGCCGAAGCAATGGCTGGACGATGTGTTCGAGTTCGCGATTATTCCGGACCGTGTGATTTATCTGGATGTTGACGTGGAACATCTGCTGCCGCGGGTGCTGTCGAGCCGCCAGCTGGACCACTGGGAATCGGGTGAGGACTATTTACACGGGGCCGATCTGCACGATAATTTCATCAATTACCAGGGAGCGCTGCTCAAAGTCTTCCGGGAGTTGGCAGACGAGCATGGCTTCGTAGTGGTTGATGCCCGTCGCAGCGTGGGAGAGGTGTTCGAGACGCTGCGCACTGAAGTGCAGACAACGGTCGCCGATATGGATCGCCACTGATCCATCGGCCGGAGATGGGGAATCCGGAGGGGATTGGCTCGACGACTGCGGACGCGAAATGGGGCGGGTTTCATACCCGCCCCGATTTTTTTTGCCCCTGAATTTTGCCTACAGGTGAAGGGCTTTGGCCAATCGCCGTCGGTGAAATTTGGGGTCTCCCAGGAACTGATACAGGGTGCGCGACGCGGTGGTATGCAGCGTAAGACCGTACTCAGTGGTGCTTCCAACGCCGGCGTGAACCTCGTGGGCATGATTGCAGGCGTTGTAGTATGCAACGCTGCTGACTGCCTTGGCCAGGTGGATGCTGTCATCGGCCGAGCGCTCCGAATCGAGTTTCCAGAGGGCTTCGTAGGTGGTCCACCGGGCGGCATCCAGTTCGTTCACCAGGTTGATGATGTGATCCTGAACCCGCTGGAACCTTCCGATGGGTGTGCCGAACTGGATGCGGGTGCGGCTGTATTCGACCGACATTTCGTATACCTGCTGGGATCCACCGACCTGAAACGCGCACAACAGCGGAACGGATGCGGCGACCGCCCGTTCCAGGGCAGCCCAACCGCCGCTGAACGTGCCGCCGAGTACCGCAGACCGTTCGACCTGTACTCCTTCGAGGCGAACCTCAGCCAGATTCCAGGCGAAACCTTCAAGCGGGCGGACGGAGACTCCCGGCGCTCCGGCAGGGATCATCACCAAACCGACGTGCTGACGATTTTCAGTGCGGACGGCGCAGATCAGGTCGGTAGCGGCGGTGGCATCGTAAACGTACACCTTGGTGCCGGAAATGCGGAACCCGTCTCCGTCTGCGGCGGCGATACACTGCACATCGTCTTCGTCCCACTGATAATCCACTTCGGTGATGGCCAGTGACACGGTTCGCCGTCCGGCGGCTACGTCGGGCAACAGCGAGCGTTTTTGCTCTTCAGTGCCGGCTTCCAGAATAGCGAGGGCCCCGAGAGCGGCAGTGCTGAGGTGCGGGCCGGGAACGGGCCCACGGCCCAATTCTTCAAAGAGGACGCCGGCATCGGTGAATGAGCCGCCTTCGCCGCCGTATTCAGTGGGAATGATGATGCCGAGCCATCCGGTGGATACCAGTTTTTGCCAGGGTTCGGAGGGGGCCGTTTGACCGGTAGCCGATATGTCCAACAAAACCTCTTTGGGATATTCGGTTTCGACGAAACGGCGGACGGCTGCCTTCAGCATCTCCTGTTCTTCAGTTAGGGACAAGTCCATGATGGTATAGCTCCCGCAAAAGACCGGGCGTTTCGGGTGAGGTAGGGGCCTGCGTTGTTGATTGGGTAGCGAAGGGGTCAGGCGAGGGCGCCGGCGCGCTCCCGTTGCTGACGGCCGATGCCGATGCGGCGGGACATGATGACCTTCTGGATGTCGGTGGTGCCGCCGGGGTGCAGTGCAATGATGGCCGCGCGCTGATGGGCTTCGATGTGTCCTTCGCCAGCGCCCCAGAGGCCGTCTTTGGTAAGAGCGGCCGGGCCCAGGATGTCCAGAATTCCGGTTGCGATACGGAGGCCGGATTGCTTG